GTGGGCGAGGAGATCTCTCAACGCGTGATCAAAGCTAGATTAGCGTTTGCTAATCTAGCGTCGGAGCGACATATCCCTTTCACTGAAAGGGTGTGTATTGCGCAACGGCATGCACCGTGTTGCTTTATGGCCTCCAAGCAGATCACGTCCAGCGACTATCAGTCTTCGACAACCGTTGTCTGCGCACCATCGCCCGCGTATGGTGGGAGCATCACATGATTAACGATAAAGTCAGACGACGGGTGATAGGACCAGATAGTTCTCCTTTGAGCAAAATAATTTCACAGCATCGTCTTAGGTGGCTAGGACACGTCCTACGAATGCCTGAGCACACCATGCACTACTCGCAGACATCGGTCCAGGCTGGAAGAAACAACAAGGTAGGCAGGCTGTGACGTGGCGCAGATGGTTAAACAGATTGTGCTAGTGACTGCAAGTTGCATGTTAGGGGCGGGTTGTTGATTAGACAGATGGCCTTACGCTGAACCCGATCAAGAGAAATTGAGATGGACGAAGCTCCACCCCACACAAGACTGCAGTATTCAAATGTAGGGCGAACCTGAGCTCTGTAAACTTACTTACTTTACTTTACGGAAGCTGGCTCCTGGGAGAGGATAAGCGGGCTTCATGGATATCCCGAATTGCCGCTGTTAACGCGGAGACCAAGGTTTTCTGTTTCGTTTCGTACCGTATCAAGCCAGGTTTTCAGCTGCCCAGTCGGCAGTGCCAGTTCGGGCGGGGAAGCGGTGCTAAGGCTGCTTTGGTCAGGTCGTTGTCAGACTTACGAAGTATGTGACCAAACCATTGTAGTCGCCGCCGTTGTATTGGCGTCCGCAGCCATATGAGATTAAAACACTGATTTCTAGCCGCTTCATTTGAGACCTGATCCCTCCATCGTACTCCCAGAATGATTCTTAAGCACCAGTGATCGAAGACTGCTAATCTTCGGCTCTAAGTGACCAGGTTTTAGAGCCGTATAGCAGGACAGGACGGACTGCTGCGGAGAAAACTCGGATTTTTGTTTTGAGGCTGATTTCATTTCTACGCCAAAAGGAATTCTTCAGCTGTAAAACGCCCTTCTTGCAGGATAGACGCGCAATTGCACCTCGTCTTTCGCTTGGCCGTTGGGGAGTATGGTTGAGCTCAAGTATCTAAAGTTTTCGATGGACTCGATCGGCTCGCTGTTTAGTGTTAAAGCATTTTCGGGATAAATCGGGACTGTTGCAAAGGTTTTGGTTTCTGACCTGTTCTCCTCTAGGCCGACCTCGGGTGCTTGTCGACTGATGTGATCAACGATTACTTGGAGGTCGGACATGCTCTCGCCAAAGACGGCAATATCGTCATCGTTGAGCCATAAGTTCGGAGAGATCTGAACTCCTTGGTATCCTCCCGAATTAGTATACAATCAACGGCAAAGTTGAACAGCATTGGGGACAATGAGAACCCTTGTCGCACTCCAGATCCTAACTCGAACGCGTATGCAGATGCGGATCCGGGCACTAGTGTTAAAATCAGTTTCAGTTTGAACAACCATTTACCACGCATATTCGTGCGCCGGTTTTGGTTGCCCATTTGGATGAATAATAGGAGAAGAATAAGAAAGTTGAAGGTGGAGTCGAAGAGAAAATTGAGTACTCCAGTAAACTATGGTTGCAAAGAAATTCAGAAGATTCAAGAACACCACTGTTTACGACACCCAGACGATCTGAATCTTTGGGGCCCCAGCTGAGGAGCGGAGAAACCCCAACGGAAGCCAAATCCGAGCACAATCTCTGTAACCACCGGATTGAGAACAAACATAGCATCACCCATGTGCCCGTTTTCCGTCGTTATGGTTATAATATAATTGTCAAAACTGGGATAACACCTATATAACATTTCATTTTACACTTCCCTCTTTACAGAACAATGTTGGCCGGAAGATTGAAGAACTTTCGCAAAGGAATAGATGATGTTCGTGAAGGAAAGGAAAATTCCTTGTCGGCCATTCGAAAAGAACTGACGTCCATACCCTACCTCCCCGAACTAGGTAGATAATTTTCACACCTTCCTGATTTTTATTCAGCTCCATTGGAACATTTGAGGAAGTTAAGCCTGGCTCACAATAAAATTACAGGTTTGTTTATCAAAAGTATTCGCACATTTTGTCTAGAAATTCCTCAAGAGATCTCTACTCTTCAATCTCTGGAACATTTGAATCTTTTCAACAATTGCATCACAGTGAGTGCTAATGGACCTGTTTACTACGTCATATCCAGACGATATCTCCCAAAATTGTCGAGTTGTCCTATTTGCGATTCTTGAACTTGGGGTACGCCTATTGAATCACGTTTGATTAGTATCACCGTAACATAGAATGAACAAGCTCAATGTCCTTCCTCGTGGATTCGGCGCGTTTCCGTCATTGGAAATCCTCGATTTGACCTACAACAACTTGAGTGAAACTAGTTTACCGGAAAATTTTTTCAATTTAATAACCCTTCGAGCGTTGTATTTGTCAGATAATGACTTCGAACAGCTCCCCGGAGCAATCGGAAAATTGGTCAACTTGGAAATTGTGAGTTCATCTCCCCCCGAATGCCACTCACACTCCTTCGTAGCTTGCTTTGCGTGACAATGATTTGATCATGTTACCGGCCGAAATCGGACGACTGACACGTCTGAAGGAGTTGCATTTGCAAGGAAATCGTCTCACAGTTCTACCTCCGGAACTCGGTAAGTTCTAGTTTTGTTCGTCTTGGAGTTCAAAAGTTACCGTCCGTTCTAGTCAGTACAGAGGACGGGTTACATATAGATATATTTTATAAGTAGTATATGAATCACTGGACAAAATTACCCCTAAGCACACGGCCGGTTTCGCGGTTCTTGCTGCTCGTAAGGCATGCATACCCGGTAATCTTTAGTCAGTTCATTCGTATGTTTGTACCCAGGAAGTGTATTTTTGTCACAATAACCTAGTTAGCGAAACCGGGTGATTTTGGATAGACAGCTCTTTCAGAGTCAGCCCTTAAGGAATGATTCGATGCTCTGTTGGTGGGTTAGATGCTACTAACCGCATCCAACATGATTTGAGCATCTTTATAGAATATTTTATAATAAGTAGTATATATATAATAGTCCAGACACTGAGCAGTGCTCTTTGTGGGAGATATGACTGAAAGCCACGGTCACCGAGTTTCCTGTGTGCGAGATGCAAGCCATTTTCTCGATTATTGTGGTCGATGATGTTGTTTTATAGCGTAATAAGAATGAAGATAGCAGCGATAGACAAACAACAGTTTGCTTTACAATCATAATCATCATCATCACCGTACAGAGAAATACCGTGAAGCGAACTTCACTGACCGCTGCCAAACTCGCAATGCATACAAAGTTAGTGGTAAAATTTAAGTTGGACAGGGGTTGGATCCATTTTGAGGAAGGGAGAAGAAGATGAGCCACTAGGGTCAACACACAGTACGCAATCGAACTCTGCATACATACCGTTTCGAGCATTCTGACCTGATAAAAAACGACAACAAGAACGCCACTGATGCCGGTTCGCTGCCATATCCTTCAGTGTCTCCAACCCACCAGTTATGGAGTCTTTCGGACCCCAACCTGGAAGGCGAGAGACACCTACTCTACCTAA